AAAAAACAGTGGTAAAGGTTTGATTTCAGAAGTGAAAATATGCAAGAGAGCTGAGAGAAATGTTAACTCAGACTTGAGTTCAAGTCTACACCTGACCTATATGTAGTTCCCCCAGGTGTTCAACTGTCCTCCGTATCTGCACCAGTGACTTTTATTGTCTGCTTCTTCAAATGGTAAGTAGTGAAGAGGGATTCAGGTTCGGCGATGGAGATTGTTCACATGATTCATGGTATGTGGCAGTGGGAGAGCTCTATTGTGTCCTCTTTTGTACTGTAGCAATCTTAGAAAATCCTTTCAGATTTTCAGAAGGGATGCAGTGGGTACAATATCCCAGGGCAATAAAGCTTTTGTATTACGTTTTGGTAAATTGTAGGGGTCCCCATTTGCCATATAGCATGCAGGGTACTGATTATTGTTTGATAGTACATGTACCATATCCCGAACGCAGCCAAAATACAACTGTAATCCTAGAACTGCACTGAAAACATGGCGTCCATGCTTGTTATTGATTTGACTGATTGATTATCCAACGGGTGCAAATGATGCAAAGGGCACTCCACTGTTGGTCTGGTTTCATTTCAACTGACACTTTTCTATCAGCATAATTCATGATACTTGTGACAGGTTGTAAGTGCTTGGAATAGATTGAAGGGTTCCATGCAAATGTGAATGGGGGACACAGCCACTCAGTGATTGATTTGCCTTAATGACGGAATCAAGAGGCAATAATGCATTCATTATTGCTTTCATAGAAACCGGACTCCAGCATGGACCATAAGGTAAGCAAAGTGAAAGTTAGTTCAACATTAGGACAATTTCATCATCAAAACTGCAGATCTACATTCAAAAGAACCATTTCCACAGCAATGTATAACTGACCTTTGTGTTTCAGTAAGTCTGCGTGTGCATCAGGAACCTAAGGCTCACTGAAATGAAACCATAAATTCTATTTCCCCCCCCCATAAAAACCAATGATCGTTCTGCTTCTAAAAATAAAAGCAGGCAACAGCATCACACCATTAGTCGGCAAAATCATCCCCCCCGAGTTAAACGTACATACATGAAGGCCTACCTACCAAACCTGCCCAGCAAAGTTAAATGTACACTGTACATAAACATGTAGTAATCATATTCAATGCCATTCTGTGAGACATGTATTTGATGTACACAAACATCCAGCCAGGTGACTATGCCATGAACAGGTGGAATCAAGAGCTTCCGTTGGTTTCAATGGCAAAGAGGTGACAGTTGGTGTCTCAGTTCGGTCCATTTTCAGGGTTCAAACCTGAACTGGTCACTCTACTGTGAACACATAGAGTGAGACAAGTGCACCTTGTGGGGCCCCATAATTAATTGCAACTTAGTTCTGGTGGCCCCACCATGAACCAGGGCAGCATGACTATGACAAGCTCCAGCGTGACCTCCATGTCATCTACAAGTGAGTCAAAAATCAGCCATTTCCTTCTAGGCAAGACTGATTCATCAATCTTTTTAAGGGGACCTCCCTGCCGCGTCCCCCTTTTGCCAAAGCGGAGAAAATTGAATTGTCATGTAAAGCAGGAGCAAAGCTGACTTCTTTAAGAGACTCTCCATTAGCAGAATCTTACATACTTTTATAATTACATGTACATATATGGAAGTCTTTAGTTTAGACAGGAAATTTTTCAGGATTTCATTTCACTCAAAGTTTGTAGGATGCTTTCATTACAGAAAATTAGACAGACAAGTCAAGCATGAAAAAAAGTTCTTTCCTCGCTGCCAAACGCATGCTCTGAAATCATTCCCCACACCACAGTCAAGGTAGCACAAGTTTCAATTAATCACAAATTTTATCTGGAACATGTCAGACCCTGTTAGCTATCATTGTCATCTTTTTTTAAAAAACTCTCCCACATCAATGCCACTGTTTTTCAGCTATGCTAATGTCTACTACACATGTATATCCAGGCAAATTTGCTTGACAAGAACAGCAGTTTTCAGATCTCCCCAGCAATAGCTGATGCTCAAGAGACACACGGCATGTTCAAAATTAGAACGCTTCTGCTGAAGGTACAACACTGTACACCCACTAATAAATTTTTTCATTCCTGATGCAGGTTGAAAGGAAATGTGTCATCAGCGTGCAGGCTCTGCACAGATCAGCCGAGCCTGCAAAGCACGTGTAATCATCCCCAAGGAGAAGTTCAGAAGCATTTCAACCGACTCTCTCTCTATTCTAATCTACGAATCCAAATGTGCAACGCTCAGTACTCTTACGATTGATACTCTTTGCGGGCATCCATCTTTTGAGGGTAAATTTATCAAAAATTAGGACACTGGAAACATGCACAAGCAGTAAAGGAACTAGCAAATTACAAGTCAGCAACCTGTCCAACAAAAAATCAAGCACTGCATCAAATGAGACCAACTGCTCGCTTCAGAAAAGTTGGATCTGGTACCCAATCTACGGTACATCCATGAATTCCTTTACAAAGCTACGCCATCGTACATGTACATGTACTTCAAAATATCTTTTCACAGCTGGATGAATGCATTAAATATAAAAGGATTTGTTTCAAGTTTTTAAAAGTCATTTTCTCATCCTAAGCCATGCAAACCTGGAGCGTTCTATCTGAACAATGTGTGAACTTTGCACACCCAATTTTTAAATCATTTTAAAAACCCTGGGCATGAAGATTCAGCGTCTCACTTGTGAATGAACTTTGCTCATACTGTACAAATACACACACACACTGACCCTCATCCTTTCATGGAGTCAACAGATACAACAATCACACCCTGATAGGGACAGGTCCCTTAAACTCGTCAAGTCAATATGTGCTTGAGATAAAGGTGCCAAGAAATGACCTGCTCATTTGACGGAGTTAAAAGTTTAAAGTGATCACAGACCATGCATGGGATCGCCACGCTTTGATCACTACAGTAATTATTCAAACTGCCTTGCAGGTGATATGAAAAAATATTACACCAAAATTGTAGCATTCATGACTGTAATTAGGGACGAGGGTTAGCAGACTTCGGACTACTACGCTGTTCAGTTTCTCTATAACCCCCTAGGCTCTTGCACTAGAAAGCATACTGAACTTCAAAAAATCCAACAGGTTCATGTACTTGTCTAT